GCATAGGTCCAATGATGTCCATTGCCCAGCGCATAAAAAGATAGGGTGCGGTGGTCGTTTGGAGGAGCTCAGTAGGTCTGTGGATTATGTGGGCATGTCGTTGGCATTTGTCGCAACGACGGGAGTAGGATTCGCAGTCGGCCACCATTGACGGCCAGAAGAAACCCAAGTTTTTTACTTTGAGTACCAACGCTCTTCCTCCCGAGTGATTTCATGCTGCCCCTTCGTGTGTCTCGGCCATGACAAGACGTGTTTCTTCGCCATGCAGGCAGCAGAACACGACCTTGTTGGATGTCCATCGGTAGAGGACCCCGTCGGTGAACACGTAATTCGTACTTTTGGTCTTAATGCGCCGAGCTAACCACTTCTCGGGGGGCAACGTGCCGCGGCAAGGTAGTCGATGATCGAAGTTCGCCAGTCGGGAAACTCTTGCTCGGGTTGCTCGCTGTGTGGGATTTGATCCGGTTCGTTGCTGCCATCTTCATCTGGGTTGTCATCAATGTCCATCGGTTCGGAAATCGAAGCTATGGGAGGATTTTGTTCTGCGGCGACCGTTATGCCCGGGTTATCGATCCTGTGTATCGGGATGGTCCGCTTCACTTGATCATGGAGTTTTCTTCCGAGGGCAGCAAGTGCATCAGCGCAGAGATTTCCTCCTCGAGGGACTTTTGTTAGTTCGAAAAAGTCAAAACTCTTGGTAAGGTCTTGGACGAGTTTGAGGTAGGCATCCATTCGCTCGTTTTGGACGTCATAATCTCCATGGTACTGACTAGCGACGAGTTGCGAGTCACAATATGCACTCAAACGCTTTGCACGGACTACTTTCGCGAGTCGGAGGCCGGCGATTAGTGATTCATACTCGGCCTCGTTGTTCGAAGCAGTGAAGCCGAAAGTGAAGGACTGCCGGATGAGTTCGCCGGTGGGGGACTGAAGTTGCACTCCTGCGCCTGATCCTTTATTATTTGATGAGCCATCGAGATGCAGTATCCAGTTTTGGTCGGGTATGACCAAAACCTGTTCGAGATCGGGGTCGAGTTCTACCATAAAATCAGGGAGGACTTGAGACTTCAGTGTAACGCGGTTCTTGTAGGTTATATCGTACTCACTAAGCTCGATTGCCCACTTCGACAATCTGCCCGACTGGTTAGTGTTGTGCATTACGGTCCGCAGCGGTTGATCCGTAAGAATCTCAATGGCATGGGACTGGAAGGAAGGGCGGATTTTCCTGGGGGAAGTGATGACCGCGAGTGCCATCTTTTCCAGTGTCGTGTAACGCGTTTCGGGATCTGTCATATGCTTGCTCATGTAGAAGATCAGTTTCTGTTCTCTCCGGTTGTCTTTTATCAGGATGCTACTGACGGCTCTTGACAACACCGCGATGTATAAGGACATGATATCTCTGTTATCCGGTTTGGCGAGGACTGGCGGCGTCGTTAAATATTGTTTAATCTGCGTAAAGGCCTCCTCGCACTTTTCATCGTAGAATGGAAGGCACTTATCCGTAGATCGTGAGATGAATCGGTTTAGGGCTGCTATCCGACCAGTCAGCCTCTGGACCTCGCGAGCATTCTTCGGACTCGGGAGGTCTAGGATCGCTGAGATTTGTTTCGGGTTAGCCTCGATCCCACGTGGCGTGACGATGTAGCCGAGGACTTCTCCGGATGTGACCACGAACGTGCACTTCGCCAGGTTTAGTTTCATTCCGTATGCGTTCAGTATTTCAAAGCACTCTTGAAGGTGATGGAGATGGTCGTCCGTGCGGAGAGACTTGACGAGCATATCATCGATATATACCTCCATCGTCCGTCCGAGCTTGTCAGCGAACATCTTGTTAACGAGTCGTTGATATGTTGCGCCGGCATTTTTAGGCCGAATGGCATGACTTTGTAACAATTTGTTCCGCGATCGGTGGGTAGAACAATCTCAGTGACTTCTTCCTTCTGTGGGTAGATTTTGTGGACGGGATTTGTTACGACATTGACATGGGAATTTTTCCGTCGGAGTTTTACAACAGCGACAACCAGTTCGCGAGCCGCCTGCTGATCACCGCGCAGAGTTCGGATCCGACCATCGTTTCTTGGGAATTTCACGCATTGGTGTAAGGTGGATGAGATTGCCTCCATCGAATGAAGCCAGGGAGTTCCGAGTATTACATGATAAGGTGCGACAGTATTTATCACCGAGAATTTCACGGTTTTTGTTACTCTGACTGCATACACGGGGAGGCGAATTGTCCCGATCATTTCTTCGGAAACCCCGTTGAAACCCGTGAGGATTCTGTTGGAAGGTTTCATCTGTCTGAGGTCAATCTCCATTTTTTCAAGGGTGTTTAGGAAAATGAGGTCCACCGAGCTTCCTGTGTCGATCAGGACTTTTGTGACTTCGCATTCGCCGATCCCGATCTCTACTAACAAAGGATCGTTGTGCGCCATATGCACGCCGACGACATCCGTGGGCGAAAAGGTGATGGGTAGACTATCTTCTGGTTTGGATGGCCATTTTTTTGAAGCGATAGCTTGGCGTTGGTGAGCTTTGACTGATCGGACCGAGTCTCCGCATGGGGGAGAGCCGCCCATAATGACATTTAGCCGAGTTTCTCGTGCGGTTTCTGCTCGTGTTTGGGAGGGTTCGACATGATGGGTATGAGTGGCAGGAACTTTCTTTTGATCGAGCAGCTGCCGTAAGTCCGGCGCCTTCAGCTTCTCTAGCGTATGTCGTAGGTCTTCGGTAACGTGTCGGGGGCGTCAGCTGCGGTAGCGTTCACATTTCCTTGCTTTCTTCGAGTTGAGCTGATCGCGAAGGTCGTTAGAATGTGTCCCCTTACGACGGGAGTGGAGATATGTCCAAAGATCGGAGGATCCGGTGTCATCGTCCGAGGATTTCTCTCCGTGGGAGAGGATGACCTGGATTCGTTTCCTATTCTTAGGTTGTTCGTCGTCGGCCTCCTGCTCGTCTTGGGGGTGATCTGCTGCGTTTTCTTCATCGGACACACTCGGGCGGGCTTCTCCCTCACACCGGGGATTGTCATTCATCTTCTTGGACTTCTTGTCCTTGTTTTTGCTCCAGCTTTTATCGGTGTTAGCCCTCGGTTTTGGAGGCTCGGCTTCTATCTGCCCGGATGCATACTTCGCGATAAGATGCTCGCCTAGATGCCTGCAGTCTTTTGTATCATGACTCTTGGTGTTGTGATACTTGCATAATTTGCTTGTTTCGCTCCTTCGAGGGAACCTAGACTCAGATGGTGACTTAGCGCCATCGTCTTCGCGGTAATAATGGTTCCACCCCTTTCCCCGAACTACGACGGTAGACGGGGGAGATTTGTCGCCATCCACGTGGTAAATGTACCCCTTCTTACGGTCGTTGCGGTCTCCTGCGGAATACTGACGAGGTTCTTGGCGCGTATCTTGTCGGGAGTCGTGACTCTTCATTTTCCCTGGTTTATCCGAGTTACGCTTGTTAAGTATTGCTCGGGTATCTTCTTCCATGCGAATGAAATTGTGTGAGCGGGCAATAGCGTCTTCCAGCGAAGTTGTCGGGCATCGGTAGAGATCTTGTCAGAACGGTGAATGCACGTATAAAGTGTTCTGGAGTGCCTCGACAGCCATGCTGTCCGGGGCATTAACCTTGGAGGCCAAAGTTTTGAACTTTCCCATGAAATCTTTGAGGCTCTGGCCAGATGTCTGCGACATCTTCCAGAGGTCAGAAGCTGTGGCCCCTTGGCGGGTGAACATGATGTAGTGCTTAAGGAATGCCGAGGATAAGTCGTGAAAGCTATCGATGGAGTTCTCTGTTAGTCGGGAAAACCATGTCAGCGCCGGTCCGGTGAGACTTTCGACGAAGAGCTGACAGAGTCCTACATCTCTCTCTTCGTCTGAGAAATGTGACCTACCCATCACGATGTTGAAGGCGGTCACATGATCTGTCGGGTCGCTTTCTCCAGCGTAGGTGGGGAGTCGGAGTTTCTCAGTCAGACGGATCTTGACGCTACTTATTCGTGTTGTGAAAGGAGTGCGCAGCGACTCTGCGAGGACGCGATCGATTTGAGGCGCAGCGCTCGTAGCGTGATGGATCTGAGATTTTATGGTTTGGAGTGACAGCTTGAGCTCGGCTATTTCCCGTGCGGTTTGAGGGTCTGAACCGCTAGCTGGTGGAGCAGAATCGTCCGTCGGATTTTCTTCGAGTTGCATCGGCTGGTTGGCCGGAGTCGGCGTAGGGTTGGTGTTGAAGAGAAATCGACGGACCGAAGCCATGTCGCGGACTGCTCCTTCAGGGGGTGAAAAGATGGCGGCGAGGGCCGCGAGCTGGGCATTAGTCTCCTTCTGGGCTTCGTCTTGTTGAGCGAGGCGGGCCATGAAGGAGTCCATGAAATTTTCGAGAGTCAGGACGACCGGGGTTTCCTCCGGTTGGTATCCAGGAGAGTCTTCTTCGTTCGCCATGTTCGTCACACTACTTCGTATTGCCCCACGGTGGTCGCCAACTGTTTTAACCGAGTTTGGTGATAACAAGTAAATGATCGAGGGAAACTCGTCGGTGGGTTATTACGAAGGTGCGAACAGACAAATGGAACAAAGAACGATTTATTGATCAATGGGAGAGTGTTTACAAAGAGGAACGTTGGTGCTCGAGAGCTACCAAAGTTGTACGGACCGATCTAAGAGTAACAAGGTAAGTAAAACTCTAGTTTAGCTGCCGCCTAGTTAGTCTATTTTCGGATCACTTCTAAGTGTGTCATCTTCTCGCTTTGATAGGTTGCTGTACGGAAAACCTAATGGGCCGTTTCCTTTGCTTCGTGGGCCTCCTAGACGAGCTGGATCCATTTGTTTGGTATGGATGGTGACGTGTCCTCGTTCCGAGTCTCTTGTCTTCTTACGGGTGCGCACTTTTCTTGCTTACGTGAACCGAGTAACGGACTCCGGCCTTTATTCGATGGGCCTTGAGGGTATGACATAAGTCCACCCTGTACAATTTTGATAGTTTTTGGATTAAAAAAAGAGTAAAGGCATGAATCTGTGTCAGCCGTGAGAGGAAGGAAAACAAGTGGAACAAGGAAATTGGTTGCTTCCTCCGTCTCTGATTCTTAACAATGCCGAGCGTAAAGCTCAAACACTCTTCACCTGACCACCCCATTTCCTCCTCCCTCCTTTCCCGCGAAACCCATTTCCTCATCAGCGCCGCCTCCCCTCCCGATGATCTCCCACACTCACTTCTGAGGTTGATCTGCTGCGAGGAAATTGATGGCCAGAGATGGAAATACGTCGCCGAGAGCGATGGTTCTGGCAGATTCAAGAAGAATTCTTTCCGTGCTATAAGCACAGAGTCTCCTCGGACTCCTCTTGAGGTTTTGCAATTTAATTTTAATTGTTCTTTTTTCTTCTATCAGTTGAAGCAAACTTTTTACACTTTTACAGGAAGTTGGTTCGTTTCTGAGATCTTACGTTGTACCTGAAGGATTCCCAGAAAGTGTCAATGAGTCATATGTTCCTTACATGACATTCAGAGCTTTGAAGGTGTGTGAATGGTTCTTCTTCTTCTTACAGTTTCTTGACATTTCATGATTTTGCCATTATTCTTGCAGTATTTCTTTGGTGGAGCCATGGGTGTCTTTACCACTCAGACCCTTCTCAACTCTGTTGGAGCCTCAAGAAACAGTTCTGCTTCTGCTGCTGTTGCCATCAACTGGATTCTCAAGGTTAACACTTTAGTGTACCAATCCACCCATTGACTTGAAAATCCTAAGAATCTTGGCATCTTGTTGTAGGATGGTGCTGGCCGTGTTGGAAAAATGCTTTTTGCCAGGCAGGGAAAGAAATTTGATTATGATTTGAAACAGGTACATACTTGTTGTTAGATGACATAAGCTGGGAGAGAATGTCCTAACTCTGCTTTGAGTTTACAGTTACGGTTTTCTGGTGATCTTTTGATGGAGCTTGCTGCTGGTGTAGAGTTAGCCACTGCTGCTGTTCCACACCTTTTTCTTCCTCTCGCTTGTGCTGCTAATGTTATCAAGGTAGTCTTCTCTGCGTGCTTCCAAAATTATCCCCTTTTTTGGCCTTGCTATTAATCGTTTTGTTTTATTACAGAGTGTTGGAGCTGTAACATCAACCTCTACTCGCACGCCTATCTATAAAGCCCTTGCTAAAGGAGAGAACTTAGGAGATGTCACTGCTAAGGGAGAGTGTGTTGGTAACGTTGCTGATTTGGTATGACCCTTTTTAAGCACTACTTCTCATAATAGATTCTCTTTAAGTGCTTACTGTATCATGTTTTTGTTTTTGAGTTCTAAATAATTGTTTTCATCCGTAATGATTATTGTTTGCGCAGATGGGAACTGGGTTTAGTATATTGATATCCAAAAGAAATCCTTCGTTGTTCACAACCTTTGGTCTTTTATCATGTGGCTATCTCCTGAGCTCATACCAAGAGGTACAAATGCAACTCCGTTTATCAATTTTTTATTTATGAACTTCGTTGCTGATTTCCTTTCAGGTTAGATCTGTAGTATTGCATACACTCAATCGTGCTAGATTTACAGTAGCAGTGGAGTCGTTTCTCAAGTCGGGTAAGCGCTGACGTTTGTTAGCATGCAGATGAGTGTTGGTCACATTTCAAACTTCATAGGTTGAACTTTCCATCTATTTGCAGGGCGGGTTCCCTCGCTACAGGAAGGTAATATTCAAGAAAAGATAATTACTTTTCCATGGGTGGAGGATCGACCAGTAATGCTTGGTATGTATTATTATATAGAACTCCATAGAAGCTTTACTCTTTCTTTTTGTTATTCTTTTACTGAACCATCATTTGGCAGGAGCAAGATTTAAGGATGCATTCCAAGACCCCAGCTCATATCTGGCAGTAAAGCCTTTTTTCGATGTATGCTTCTTCTGTATTTCTTTTCTCAATTATCAAGTTTTGACCTTTTAATCTCCATAATTTGCAGAAAGAAAGATACATGGTGACTTACAGCCCTGCCAAGGGTAAAGTCTATGCACTGCTCAAGCATCAAGCTAACTCAGATGACATTCTCAAAGCCGCATTTCATGTGGGATAGTTTTCTTAGTTCTTATATATCGCTTTCCCGTAGAATTGAAGTAACTAAAGCCTAATGTTTCTTTCGGTTGCATATTGATGTCACAGGCACATGTGCTTCTTCATTTCATGAATCAATCAAAAGATGGTACCTCAAAATCAATGGAGCAACCAGATCCTGCTTTTGCTCCAGTGGAATATGAGCTGGAGTCTCGAATAGCCGAGTCGTGTGACATGGTTTCTACCTCATATGGAATCTTCAAAATCAGGGCTGCAGAACAGGTCCTTTGATAGAAATATGTTGTATAGTTGTTTTAAGTTTGTTATAGTAAGAATCATACTGAAGGAGATAGGTTTGTTTCGTTCTTGGTTAGGGTTGGAGGATGTCAGAATCTCTGCTAAATCCTGGCCGGGCTAGGTTATGTAATGCGGAGGGGGAGTAAACCACGCCTGGTGAAGCTGGTCTTTGTTATGATGACCTGAATCGGCTTCGATAATTGTTTCACGGCACGCTACATTTTGTTGTCTTGGAAAACAAACAGATTTTGGTTGGTACACGTTTTATTTTATTATGCTGTAAAAAAATAGAATGATACGTAGCATTGTAATCTGTGAGTGGTAGCTGCTGTATTTAACATATGTTGCACAAACACGTACATTTTTTTTTTGAAATGTTAAATTTATTTATCAACAAAAATATATTTAGAGAAAGAAGATATAACATGTTTTATGTTTTGGCTTGGCAAACAACAAAGTAAATCTTTTTTTTTTTGCTAAAAAACAACAAAGTAAAAGTTCATGGAGTGTTAGGAAGGTCTCTGGAGCCAACGTTGCATCTGATGAACCGTAATATATAAACTACGAAGAAAAATAAAATGATAAGATAATATCAAAAATTAAGAAAAAAATGATATAATAGCAGAGTCGAGATATTATTTATTTTATTAATTCAAAATACGTTCCATACGACGGTTTTATAACATAATGGATCCCCGGATACAATTGCAAAAAAAAAAAAATTCTGATTTGCGTTGCTCTATCAGAAGTCTAACGAAACTAGTTTTGTGATGTACTCTCAGAGTCAAAGAACTGAAATAAAATAAAAAATTCAAGTGCAGGATGTTATTCATTTCACTTTGTTGTTCGAACATTCAATATGTATACTGGAGAAGTGCTTCTTATATGCTTTGTTCCAAAAGCAATAACTTGAAAATACGTACAAGTTAACTCAAATAACTAAATTCCAAACCGATCATGATGAGAGTTGCGGGTTCGATGATAATATATGTTCTAGTGAAATTTAAATTAATCGTCTAAAATATGAAGATGTATTAATTTTGTTCAATCCTGCGTCATTGTTCCTAAATTTTTTTATAAAGAAAATAAAATTCCAATATATGGATAAGAATATATTAACATTTTATATCAGAGTATTTTGTAATATTTTGTATTATATTTGTCGATTTTGAAATAATTGGATACAGTGCTTCTACATTTCAGAAAGAGGGATATTTATGCTGGCTAGATACATCTCATTTAATTTTTGATTTTGATTCGGTTTGCTTTTGGTACAATGAAACTATATAATGTGGTAAAAACCAAGAAAATATTATTAAACATAATCACGTTTTTCTGCTGAACTACGGTTACTGTTCCTACATTTTACAAAGAGAGATATACTTGTAATGATGATTAGATATAGTGCTTCTACATTTTAGAAAGAGAGAATTGTATACTGGCTAGACACATCTGATTTAGTTTTTGAGGATCCATTCAAACGTTAAACGTGGATTGCTTTTGTTAGAATATAACAAAAATATGTGTAGAATTTTTTTTCCTATATCCTTTACGCTTATTTCTTAATAAGTACGATAATCTAATATAATAACAGAAACCATGAGGGATGAATGTTGAGAAATTTGTTAATGGTTTTATTCACTGTAAACCCTATGATTACAAGCATCAAGTAGGGTTGTGCTTGCAAAAAGTGTGTTGTTGGAGCTCGAGCAAGTTCTATTTGATATATCCTAAGCGTCTGATTAACTGAAGGATGGTTGCATTATACAGTTGTATTTCCCTGATATTATAATCTTAAATGGCTGAAGTTGGTAGTCCAAGCTCTAAAGGATAGACTTGATGTGCAATAATAATCTTCATCTTTGTTTCTTATGTGAGGATAGTACATTGGTCTTTCATAATGATTTTGAATATAACACATGCATTAATAACTATTATTACTATAAAGCCAATATATAAAAATGGTATAACCAAAGTAGTTTGTGTCTGACTGATAACATGTAACCACCTTTATGTGTGACAGTAATAATTAAAAAAGAGTGAGCTGGAATAAAATTTCTAGTTTCTGTAAATACAATTTACTAGAAGAGAAGCATAAGAGCTGGTTTGAAGATCGGCCTAAGGGCATCCCCATTAGCAAACCTAGGCTGGGGTTTGCCACGTGGCTTTTTCATTTTTTTTTATTTTTTTTTCCTTTACTTTAAAAAAAATAAATAATTAGATCAATGGCGGGCCATCATGTGTCGTGGGGCCTGCACTATAATAATGAACCAAGTTCACTATTCATTATTTAATTTTTTTTTTTTTTGGAAAAACATGTGAACCTCCATCTGAATCTTTGAGGGGCTCTAAGGGAAATAGGAAAGATTTGGTCTACCAGCTGGTTCGTAGCAAATGTTTTCCACCAAAATACCTCAGAAAATCTTGAACTACGACAATTTTCCACACTATTTATTTCCAAAATAAGCCTACTCAAATCTACACCTACAAAGCCTAAGTGGAAAAGATGCTAACTAAATCTAGTAGAGAATATGGGAGAAGAAGCCTACCGAAACAGAGAAACATACCATCAAAGAAGCATTATTGTTATAGTTTTTGAATCATCAGGTTATGTCATTGAAGAGAACCATCGCTATTTTACATAGTTACATTGTAGAATTAACTTAGATGTGTTTTCTTGTGGCCTTAAGTTGTAAACTAAACCATATATCTGCAGAAATCATAAATGAATCACAAAGATAACAATAACAAATAGAAAGCAAAAAGTGACTGATAACCTTTCTGCAAAAGCATCTGTTTCCTAGCTGGTTTATTTAAACATGGTTCGGTAGTAAACTTTTCTCTGAAGAACAAAACAACACAAAAAGACGTACCCCAATATGCAAATCAATGTGGAAACCTATAATTTAGTAGCTTTGACAGACTCCATCCACAAAACAACCAATTTTAAAAAGAAAAAGAACCTTCAAGACCAAAACTATTCATCCAACATCTAAGCTCATTCCTACAAAACAATTCCTGAAGAGAAAGAACAATGTTTTTTTGTCAAGTTTTTATTTATAAATGTTTTCTTCGCAAGATATAGAGTGATGTATTTTCATACATGAAGCGAAACGGCTAAGCTCACCAGTTTTGTATGGTAAATCTCTGATTGTGATGTAAACACCAGCCTCATCTTGTTCTACACATTCTGTTTCGGTGTCACTTAGATTGCTAGAATCACAACATTCTCCAATTGAATGACGAAAACGGTTTGACTGCTCCTATGAATTCTTTCACATATTGTGCTGAGTAGCTAACACCTGTTGCATTCATATTACACAGATTAAGAACTTCACCAACAAATCAACAAACAAACCATCTAATCAAAAACTTGACACATTAACAAAGTCAAAACGGAAATTCTGAAACCCAACAATCTTGCAACGAAAGAAGCCATCCAATTATATGCCTAAGAAAAGCCTCAAGTGTGATTAACGTTTGGAACTCCATTGAAACTATCTCCAGTGTTTCGGCTCCCCTACTAGTGGGATATTGCTCTTTAGATCTGAGGACATAATTATAAACAAAACATGTAAAGAATCACTACGCACCATTCCTCTGACACATGACATAACAACGTTCATCCTACGGTAATGGAATTCCATCACATCGTTATTCATTCCACCATGTTCTCTCGCTGTTCCAACATACTCCTTAATGACAATATCAGAGAAAAAAATATATCTAAGTATATTCGTATGACTTTGGTTTTTGTTCTGAGTTTCCTCCGCACCTAACTTCCTGGCCACCTAGAACAGAGCAATCTAACATCGGAAGAGCACCGGCCGGACTTCAGATCGAAAAGAAACACATCGAGTTTGCCATTTAAAGGATACTAAGTATGATAAGAGATATGAAGATGGTTTCCAGAGGAGAACTTGATACCTTTTTATACGCGCAGAGACACCGCCTCTCAGAAGATTACAACACAATTAAGTTGAGATTGTGTGGATGTGACGCAAGGAGTTGATAAGATGATAAATGCGATGGATCCGTAATTGATGCAATTTCGACTTGACAAAAAGGATGCCAAAGGGCACGATGAGATACCACCGAACGGAAGAGCTGAACGGCACACCGATGATAAGATCAATGAGCTTCCGTATTTAGCCATTGGGCTGTTAAATACTTAAAGCTTTTAATTCTTCTATATAGTCTTTATCCTTGTTGTAATAAACTTCATCAAAAATAAAAACAAAAAAGTCAAAAAGGTAAACAATCCCTAAATGCCTCCATGCTTTATCTTCTTCTTCATTTCTCCTTCATAGATTCTTCTGCAATTCTTGTTACAATCAGATGGGTTCTATCCAGGACTTATCAGTCGGCTGAACAAAAACAATCTCCATGACGGCAAAGAAAAACCATAATTCAGAAAAGAAAACGGCTTGTTCATACTCGACGCCTTAACATGCTGAAAAATCTAATAAAATCAAGAGCTTATTTGCCAAATAGCAAGTTTGATCATGCCAAAAACACCCTAAACTAAAGTGCAGTGCCGATTACAACCCAAACATGATAGAAATTCGAAAACCCACCCGAACTCATAAACGTTACTCAATAAATGACCTTGACTAACACACGTTTAGTTCACCGTCAAATAACCGTTACGGTGACATACAACGACGTCGTTTTGCTCATTAACAAAAAATCATGTCGTTTTGTCTCGGGATTAAAATCACAACATTCCCCTTCTTCTTCCAAAATTCTCTCGACATAAAGCTAAGAACCCTAAAACTCAGAGACACAAACCAGAAATATTGTTGGTTAGAGTAATTGTAAGAGAAACAAGTGTTAGAAACTTCACATCAAAATCAATCGCCAATTGTGAGAGAAACAAGTGTTAGAAACTTCACATCAAAATCAATCGCCAATTGTGAGAGGGTAGCAGAAGCTAAAATGAGGTATTTTCATCAATTTATTCAAAGATTATATTTTATGTTAAGCAAATCCGACCTTTGAAACTCATTTTTTATGTATTTAGAATAGTTTATGGTAGATTATGTATTTATATGAACTTGATTTTGATTCATATAAATTTTGATTTTATTGCACACCAAGTATTCGTTAAAATGACTAAATGTGTTAAATTTTGTTAATTGTGTTTACATGGAGTGGGAGATTGTCACGTTTAGTGTGAATCATGGTGGGTATTGGGTTAAGAATCTGGCAGGAGACGTTAGTTATATTAGTGGTGAGGTTAAAACTCTCGAAGGAAAGCCGGAGGATCTTTATGTTATGCTTGGAACTGAGTTTGAGCAAGGATTGGATGGACAGAGTTTGTGGTATAAGTTACCATTTGAAGATCATAAAGATCGGAAGATACTGAATAATGAGGATCTTAGTTTTAGAAGGATGTGTGATGCAGGAAAATGGACAGGCGTTGTTAATGTGTATCTAGTGAACACAATAGAGTATCCGTGTGATGAGGAGCAAGCTGTTGCATTTGATGAATATATTCGGGTTGAAAGGAATGTGGCTGGTTTTGTTGATGAAGAAGAAGATTTTGACTACCATAACACGCCACCAAACTTTGATGGGGAAGAAGAAGAAGAAGAGAGCTTTGTGAGATTCAGAAGAGGTAGTGGCCATCTGGAGTTAAGAAAAGTTTCCGACACTGTAGAGGAGTTCAAAGATGCCTTGGTAGAGTATGTGCTCAAGGAAGGATGGAATATCAAGCTTAATAAATGGGAAAAACTAAAATCTTCGGCTGTGTGTGCGAGTGAAGAGGGATGTCCATGGAGGATATATTTTTCTTATGAAGAACGAGTTGGAAAGTGGATGGTGAAGACATTTTTTGAAGAACATAACTGCTAGAAGGATGGACATAGTAGGATTCTAAAAGCTCCTATGATCGCGAAGCTGTTCTTGGATGATATTAGGACTGATCCAGACATGAAACCAAAGGTTATACAGCGACAAATTAAGCAGATCGGTTCAATTTAATTACAACAATCGGTGTGTGTAAAAAGGCCAAGAGTAAAGCTACTGATATAATCAACCGTGACAACGAAGAACAGTTTTCAAGGCTGAAAGATTATCGTTTAGCTATCCTTGAGTAAGTGAATCATTGTTCAATTTTGCATTGCTCAGATTTTTTATTTTTACTAATCATTATTAATATTGCAGAACTAACCCTGGATCAACTGTGGAGCTAAAAACTATGATAAATGATGAAGGATCAGAAGTCTTCCAAAGGTTCTACGTGTGTTTTGCAACCATCTGAACCTTATGGTCAATGTGGTGTCGTCATATCTTCGGACTTGATGGGTGTTTTATGAAATCTACACTGAAAGGAAAATTGTTGGCTACAGTGGGAAGAGACGCCAATAATGGTATGTATCCAATTGCATGAGCTGTTGTTGATGTGGAGAATGAGGACAACTGGGTATGGTTTATATCAAAGCTGCAACAAGATTTTAATCTACAAGCGGTTCAAGGTTATAATCTCATATCTGATTGAAAGAAGGTATGTGTATAATGTTAATGTTGATGGTTTGCTAAAGTGATATAGTTTGGTTTGATTGCTAACTGGTATGGGTTTTGAAACAATAGTCAGGGATTGTTGAATGCTGTTGAAAGAATATTACCTAATGTAGAGAATATGATGTGCGCACGCCATATATGTGGAAACTTGAAGAAGTCCTTTCCAAGACAACACAGTAGTTGAGAGTTGCACTACTCTCCAGTTTGATGCTAGTCTTGAAGCTGTTCAACGCTATGATATGTGTCTATATGCAGCCATCATGGAAAAAAATTCGAAGAATTGTAGCCTTGCTTTCTGCTCTCCAACATCATCATGTGTGGATGTGCACAACAATATATCCGAGTCATTCAACAACGCTGTTGATCTATCAAGATATATGCCTATGGTGGAGATGTTTGAGACTATAAGAAGATCAGTAATGATACACATTGACATGAGGAAGAAGATAGAAACAGATACTACAAATCGTTATCCTTCTCGAATAGTGAAGTTGATCAAGTATGAGCAGGAGAAATTGAAGTATTGTAAGATATTTCCAGGTGGTGATGGTCAATATGAGGTCCGTGAGTCTAATGTGTCATATAGTGTCAATCTGAGGTTAAAGACTTGCGCATGTCGCAGATGGGATTTGAGTGGAATACCTTGTCGCCATGCCTTACGCATCATCGCAGAGAAGAAGTTCAACTACAAAGATAATATCTCAGCTTGGTTCCTCAACTCTAGGCAACAACAGATTTATAGTGACTCAATAAGACCGGTCAATGGCATGTGCTTCTGGAACAAAACTGGTCATATGGTTATTCCACCACCTAACTTGGAGGATCAAACTGAGAGCAGAAAGGGAAGAAAGCCAAAACCACGGAGGAAGAAGGGAAAGAATGAATCACCAACTAAGAAAAGGAAGGTTAGTAGAGAGAAAAAAACTATGCATTGTGGTAAATGTGGGGAAGCTGACCACAATGTCACGAAGTGCACAAACATAGGTGTGCCAAAGCACTAGCGAAAGAAGAAGAGAAAAACAAGGATGGGAGAAGATGCATAGGATATCAGAAATTTGGATTTTGGAGAGGGACCAAGTCAAGCAACACAAGACTAGTTTCAGGTACCGCGTCTCAATTTAATTCTGCAACTTGAGGTTTTGAAAGTATTGTTGGACTTTATCGGTTGAGTTGGATTCGATCATGGAGGAATTAGTTTAGAAATTGGATTTGGGTTTGAGGTGGAAGACTTTTGGGGGTTTTTCTGAGGAAGAGGGGGATTTGAAGGAATTGGGTTTTGGGTGGAAAATTTTTGGGGATTTGGAAGAATCGGATGTGGGTTGTGGTGAGAAGCTGGAGACTCCGTTCGCAAAGAGAAACACCATTGTTGTGGTGGTGATGAAGAGGAAGATTGCTTTTTTTTTTTGTATATGTGTGTCATAATAGATATAAGGGTAGAATGGACATTAAAAATTAACACTTCAGCAAAAATGTGTGTTTTCCATCTGTGCAAATTAAGCACCTATTAGTGTATATGGATGCTAATTTTTCTATAAGTATTCTATCTCAAATATTCGTTATATAATATAATACTAGGTGTTTTGCTCGCACATGCGGGCTTAATTATCTTTAAGTCAATTTAAAAAGTCATCAAAAATGGTTATTTGCATCCAAAAAATTCGACATAAAACATTAAAACTTTTTTATATGATAAAGTTATTCCCAAATTAAAAAAAAATCATTTTTTTCTATTAAACTTTGAAAAATCTAAAGTCTATTTTATTTTTTCTTGATAAAAATATAGAAACTTATCTTTCAATTTGAAAAATTGAATCGATAAATATACATTCAAAAATTGATCTTACAGAAAGAATAATATTAGTTTGGATAATAATACAATATATTTAAATTTATTTTTGTCAAACACATATTTTCTTTCTTTTTGAATGATATTTTATTTTGTTATGATTAATTCATGTTTAAGGCTTAACTATATAAATATAAAATAAATTTCATTTAACATGTGAGTTCAGAGACGAAAAATAACTTCACAAATATATTTCATTATATTCTAGTATTATATTCTTTTAATTTGAAAATAATTACGTATTATAATTTTTTCAATTTTCTCTTTTTAATTATATACAATTAAAAATTTTACTTTATGAATATTTTTTTTATGTTTTTTTTCTGTTTTTTTTTTATTAAAATATATTTTCGGATAACAAGAAAACATATATAGGAATTATATTTTTATTTTATTTTTAAATATATATTTAAATTATGGATAATTCTTATCCTTATTATTAATTTAAATAATTTATCTAATTAAATAAATATTAAATTCTTTTATTTTTTGGTTGATTTATATATTTTATTCATTAAGGGTATAAACGATATTAACCAGTCTAACTTTTAACATGAGACATCCATTGCGAAAAAATCACTTCGCAAATAATAGTATAGATAATACTATTACTTTGACGGCTTGACAATGCTTTTGATTTCCCATTTTTTAGAACTATTCTCTGAATCAAGAGAAAATGAACTGGTATCTTTGATGTAAATCTAAAAAAAAAGAATATTAAGTTGAGAAGAAGAGAACACTAAATCTAGACAAAAATATAAATATAAATATGGTATATAAGAAAAAAAAACAGTTTGAAACGTGCGATGATTTAGGAGTTGTGGATGATGATATGTTCACTGTTGAATGTGGCGATTTTAGAAAATTCAGGGATTTGAAATTTTACCGTTTCAAAAAGTTAAAGATGCAGGAGATTATACGGTTAGAGAGTTTTTAAAATTAATTATTTTGAAATTTTGAAACTTTCATATTTTTCTGAACAAAAACATGTTTTGTTTTTCTGTATTTTTTAATATTGTTTTAACAAGAAATTTCCATGTGTCAGGATATAAGCTAAGAGAACGCATATCGTCACATTTGCTGACCAGAGAACCTGTTAAACCAAACAGAAATAGCAGTTTGATTAGTCTTAAGTTCTTAACAAATTGCCGACTATTACAGAGAGCAGAACTTATTTCCCTGACCTCTGTGATAGGTTTTCTTTTGTAACGCGTGGCCAATTAGCCCACTGACTATGCGTGCAATTACATAGTGTTAAGAGATTGTACATTCATATCCTTAATCATTCAGGATACATCTAGACACAAAGCAAATATCATTTTATGAAAAAGATAGAAATAAAACCCACTCGGTTGGTTTGTTCTTTAGTAAAGCATTAATTTATGCTGTTATGTTGTCCTAAGAGGGTAAACCTTTCTGGTTAACCGTAGCGTGAACTGATCTGGCAGCTGCCACTGCTGAATCTCCCTGTTTCACTATTTTCTCGAGTTCTCTCACTTTCTCTGACAAGAATCTAGCATTTGTGGTGGTGGCATGGACCAACTTGTTTGCAGTTTCCAAGGAAGTGCAAAGCTGAAAATTGAAGGGCAAGCAAGCAAACGATTAGTTTACATACAAGCCAGCCACACGGAAACATTTCATCAGCATTTGTCTATTCTCAGAAACAACGTATCTAGAGAATCTCATAACCATGCCTGAGACATAGGCAACATCACCATCCTCAAAAAATTAGAATTGACTTTAAACCCAGAAAAAAAAATTCAAATGTTCCCATCACATCAAACAAGAGATAGTTGTAAACGGAAGATGATTTCCATACTAAACTATTAAGGAGTATCACTCTAGAAAACAAAAGGAAAGAAATGGTAAATCCTTTGGAATTACCTCCAGAGTAAGAGAGGTCCATGAGTGATCAGAACCAGCAAACGCACTGTTCAGTTTATCATAGTTGTCCTGAAACACAAAACAACTGTTTAAAAAAAATAATCTACGGCAGAAAAGAGGCTTGCAAGCATTATCATCGGTAAGAACAACCAAACAAATAGGTAAAATTTCAAGAACGCACCATTTATAGATTAACAATTTCCCACAAGAACATTCAAATTAACAATACAGTAATGAGATTCTGGTACAGAACCAAACAAAGACCATTAAATCAATAACTGATTAAAAGAATGACCTGAAAGAGGCCGGTTAGATCCAGTGGTTCAGAGATGGCATCAGTCTCTAATTTGGAATAATTCTCAGGATTTGGTGGAGCTGAGATAACAGGTTCTTCAACGAGATCGGCAAGAAGATCTCCAATTGAAAGCAATGGTCCTCCCACTCCTTTCATCCCTTCCTCTCTCTCTCTTTTCCGAGATTAATAAATCGCCAAGCCTCTTGATTCGAATTCTGTAACTCTTTCACGACGAACAATTTGCCTTCGATTTTCCTCCGCTTTTTGATTTAGGGCTATTTCACAATTTACGATACTTCGGTTCAAATATATTGAATATCAGATCAATACTATTATTTAAGATTTTAGAAGTAAACTAGGTGACCGGTCCGCACCTTGTACGGGTATAAAAATATAGTATAATGCTGAGACATGAGTATCTATTGAGTTCAAATGTGGGGGTTAGTGGAACAATTGAGAGTTTCAATGTTGAGACAAGATTTGCGCAAATCTCTAGGATGTAGTAGGGGTGGGCAAATCGTTACTTTTTCGGTTTGGTTTGTTTAGTTCGGTTTTAATATATTTTTTCAACTGAAATAAACCTTATTTAGTCTGGTTCGGTGTTGTTTATGCCCAGTTCAATTTATATTCAGTTCGGATTTGTTTTTGGATCAGTTTAATTAGGCTTTTTGTCGCTTAATTTTTTAAAAGAAAAATTATGTTTTAAAACATATACACATAAAGTATGTGAACTAAATTCAATATTAAACTGAAACAAAAAATAAAAAGTCACAAAAAGTATATAAGAATAAAAAAATAAAAGTTAACTAAAGTAAAAAAAATTAACATCATTAGTATGTTTTTAATAAAAGTTAATTATTAAAAAACAAATGTAAGAAAAATATACAGGAGACAGTGACATTAAAAATGTGATAAAAATATCATAGATATCACAATCCTATAGAAAATGTGATAAAAATCTCATAGATATCACAATCCCATAGAAAATGTGATAAAAATTTG